TTGGCTGTAAGTGTTTTTCCGGCGCTTGTAACTGCATAAGGTCATATGAGTGCGCTAGGTGCTGTGAGTGGTGTCAGTGACATCAACGCTCTGAGCTTCTGTTGTGTTCTCTCCCCTGTCTACCTCTATGTGAGCTGTGGGGCCCTGTGCCTTGGGCAGATTGTAGTTGTTGGGATGCTCCGGGAGACTGGGGAATGTTTTTTTTTTAATTTTGTTCTACTGTTGTTGTTGGCAGTGGTGGTTGTGTTGTTGTTTTACTGTTTTTAGTTGATAGAAATAGTTGTGCTGTTGTTGTTGTTGTTGTTTCTGTTGCAGCTATTTGACATGACTGTTGTGCTGGGTTGCCCAGTGCTTTGACTTTAATATTGAAAGCAGCAGAGACATAAGGGGCTGTTCAAATATAATCTCTCACCCTTTTTTACTGACCTTTTGCTCCCCCGCCCCCCTTTCTTACACTCACTTTCCTCACATTTGTTGCCTCTTCCCCCTCCCCCTCTTTACATAATATTACATTGTTTGCTTATAATATGCCATGCTTATCGCTCTAAGAAAATAGATACTCTCTTTTTGTGTGTTATGTTTTTAAAGATATGCTGTCATAGATTTTTTTCCTAGTTATTTTTTACCTCGCAAAAGTGTAATATTACATTGGTTCAAGGACCCCCCCCCCCCCCCATGCACTTTTCTTACAGGAGCCAAATAACTGCCACCCCCACCTTCATACACTTTTCTTACAGGAGCCAAGTTCTAGGCTAAAGATTATATTTGAACGTCCCCTTATTACTTGGTTTTACTTCTTTCTTTAAATAGTTTTCTTTTAACAAGATCCCAAATTTGGTTTTTGCTGGTGTCACTGGTTAGTGGAGCATATGTCACTGGTCAAGTTTTGCAATGCCGCTTGCCACTGGGTAGTGAGACCCTTGCTATTTGGTCTGTTTGTCCTCTGTCACAGGTCAGACTGACGAATGTTTCTCTAAGTCTAAGCTGCAGAGGCTATATAATTGTTTCGTTCCGATTTGGATTTTTTTTTTCCCCTCGCTCTTTGTAAGGAGCGTTGTGTCCTTTGGTTGTGTTGGTGACAGTTGGTTGTGATAGGATGAAATTGTGCTTTTGTGTTTGTGTGTGTATGTGTGAGTGTAAATGAATGAGTGTGTTTTTGTGAACATTAGTGTTGTCTGAGGGCGAGTGTGTGTCTTTGAGAGTGTATGAGAATGTGATTGCATGTCTTATTCAATTGAGGATAATATTTGTCTTGATGTGAGAGTGAAAGTATGTTTTGGTCAACATGAGAGTCTATATATAAGTGTGAGGATGTTTGTTAATGCTCATCTTTGTCCTCATAATTCCTGCTGAAAGCAGACAGAATGACCAAATAAGATGTCTAGCTGTATGTGTGTGTGTCTGTGTGTCTCTCTGTGTGTCTCTCTGTGTGTGTTTATGTGTGAGTGATACATTCAGTGGTCAAGCAGGTTCACAGTCTTGCAGCCTGTGGCCTCTGTGTATCCTTCTGACATTCACATTATCAGGCTCTGCTTTCATTATTTCTTTTTATGTCATAAAATGTACAGTCCTTAATGATAATTTTTTACAGTACAGATATATTCTTTATGTACAATACAGTATAGAAAAATGTTCTCTTCCTATTTTTAAAAAGTCCATCATAATATTAACCTTTTTACTTACGTTTCTACAGAACGTGTCTTTGCAAGTGTAGTGTTGATGGTAGCATTACCATGTGCTCTTTTGAAACAACATTAAATCTGCAGGTCCGGAGGGGACAGGATCAAGCCATGGCTAAATCTGTCGCCTCTGGGCCTGTGTGCATGTATCGGTGTGTCCTCTACTTTGTCTCTAGTGCTAGTTTGATGCAGCTTTTACTTTGAGATTTTTGTAGTTTTTTTTTCTTCTTACAACTGAAGCCATTCTCCCAGAGCAAACAGTCAAACCTCGTTATTCCACCTACCTTGGGATGAGCATGATGAAGTTGGCAGTACAACGAGGTTATCATGTCTAATGGTAACTCTTTTATTTCCGCACGGCGTTCCCTGTGGTTTGCGGTCAAAACTGCTGTGCCGGTGAGCCGCTGACAGCGATTTGGGTGCATTCCTTTACGCAGACTTCAACATCAAATTGCTTTTCTGCAATTGCCGCAAATGAGTCTCTTTTACCAGTATATTATTCATTAGATGTGTAGTGACAAATATGTCAATTTTAGATTTCGTATTAAAATAGGGCCCCGGCCTCATGGGTTTACTCCCCAGGGAGATAAAGAGTCAAATACATGAAGTGCCGACTGCCCAGTATCAAAGGAACTTGTTATCCAATCACTACATGAAATAATGAGTTATCTCTCTTTGATCCTTCACTTGGATTTAAACGCGAGTCCTCACCAAATAAAAGCCCCAAGGGCATTGGACAGCCTGTAAGTTATTTTGGGCTGAGACGGGATTCCTTTCAAGTTTCTTCAGCGACATAAAAATTTAATTCCAATTTTTGTTTTTGAATATTGACCAAGGCCTAAAGATAATGACATTTTCATAATCAGTGCTCATTGTATTGTGTTCACTTGTGAAATACTACATGACTGGAGATCTATCCGTATTGCCAGAGATTTACAAGACAAGGATGGGATGGAGCAAATCGGGGAAAAGCTTTTGATTTTGATCTAGGCCTAGGCCTAGCTTGCAGAGCTGAGAGACTGAGATAGCCTTTTGCCAAGCGACTTAAGTGGATGTGCTGTGCGCCGTGTGTAGCTTACTTTGTAGTTCTGGCGGCCAGTTCGCTGGTGGTACAAGGGGGTAAATTTACATTTACAGTAGTCGAATAAGGACCGTACAACTGAGAGTACTGAGACAGTTGGTGGATGGCGGTGTAAAGGAGCAAATACTATATTTATATAGGGGATTCTTTTCGTACTTTGGCAAAAACCTGGCAGTAAGCGGGTTGGGCAATACAATGTCGAGTGGTACAACAAAGTTTGACCGTATATTGATTAGTTCTTTAATACATCCTAGTAGAGAGGTCCTCTGTGTGTTGAAAGTTGAAAAGCATGTTTAACCCCTAGCATAACACCTATATTTCTCTCACTCTCTCCCTCTTTTTTTGTCACTCTCTCCCTTTCTCTTTCTTTCTCACTCTCTCCCTTTCTCTTTCTTTCTCACTCTCTCCCTTTCTCTTTCTTTCTCACTCTCTCCCTTTCTCTTTCTTTCTCACTCTCTCCCTCCTTGTTTTGTTTTAGAGAGGTTTTACGGCGCTCGCAACTGCGAAAGGTCATATGAGTGCCAGAAGATTAGAGGTGTTACAAGAGAATAACAAACATAAAAAAGAAGAAGGGGAGATAAGGACGATAGAAAGAAAAAGCAAACATCAGAGCACCCGCCACCCACCTACTCTCTCTTCCTCTTCTACACCTATGCCTGGCTCAAGAAAACTGACAATTCTTGACTTTAAAAAAAACACCCACAATTGTCTCATCAAATACTAGTCCATATTTATCATCACAGCACACAGAAGTCTCAGTTTTTAGATTTTATTTAGATAACAAAAAAGCGTCGCCCTCATGATGGAAATCCCACAGTAGCAAGTTTTAAAAAAGTCCACGTAGGAAATTATATGATGAGTATACATCTTCAGTTCAGCCCAAATACATCATGTACAACATTTGAAAGACCATGAATCATGTCACAGGGCATTGAGGTCTCAGAAATGACCTCAATAAATACATGTTCACTCTTATATACACGTGCATAAATAATAGCTGTAGTAATTCTGTTGACAGACATAAACCTCAGATTTCTCACTGAAAGTCCTGATACTCTACGCCATAACAATCCTATACCTGTGTGCGTCATGATATAGGCCGGTATGCTCACACATGCATACACTCACGCATAAGTGTGCCTACATGCTCTCACGAACATGCACACACACACACACACACACACACACACACACACACACACACACACACACACACAAAAGCACACATACAAGTGCACACACTGATACATACACACATGCATCTAAACCAACTTTTTAGAAAAACAAACTGTGTATGGAACAGGAACAAGAAATTCCGAAACAGGAGTCAAACAGTACACTTGCTAAAATGACATTATACAGAAAATATGAATATAATAATATTGAATAGTATTAAAACTGAAATGATCCCAAAAATTCACCTACATACACACATGTACACATGCACTCACAGCGGTCAAGAATTTGTTGTCCTCGAAACATACACATAACAGCAATACCTGGAGGTGTATTGTAATAGACATTTATCCACTAAAATAAAAACCCACAACTTAGAACCAGTATATAATACACCTTTAGGAATCCTTGAGTGAGTGTCACATTGATGTGCAGCATGATGTAATGAGAGCCATTACTCACAATAGTAGAGACTGAGAATCAAAGGGACATAATCAAGAAGTGGAGGCAGAGAAGCAAAGAGACATAAAAGCATGTACACCTTGTAACTGTTGGAGAAGCCCATGGACTTGAATCGAATCATGTACCGGTACTGGAAGTGTAAGAAGCAAAGGGAATGGGCTTAACTTGTGACGTTCTGTGAGAACAAGAGACATGAGCATCACCTTCAATCAATGACTGAGAAGCAAAGAAACATAACAATGACCCTGCACCTACCAGAGAACATCCCCTGATCCACACAATGCGGCATGGGAGAGGAGTAGAGAGGGAGAGGTTGGAGAGAGAGGAGGGTAGATATCTCAGTACTTCACAGACATAATATAACTGACATGTGTAGCTATCACAGAGAGCCTTATACAATGTATGTGACCAGCATGGTCAGTATGAGGAAAGATTCAACCTTGATAAACGCACAGAAAAAACAAAAGTAGCCTACAATCACACTGTTCACAAGTCACTGGATACATCACAACATGAGCACGGATCTCAGTCTTATCTCCCTCACACACTATTGTGTAATGAGATGTGTGAATGTATGTGGGGAAAATGCTACCTACTGTGTATTCATGGCAAGGACGGTATGAAACACCTTGACAGTCACAGAAATTACTCCGCGTGGACTCAAATTATTGCATGAAGTTACATAAATTACAGTGACATCAAACTACACTTGGTTCTGGGCAACAACAAGGTGGACTATTTCGTCAAACACATACATCCAACTACATGTGCATGTACAAGGAATGTGTCTCAGTTTCTTCATAAAAGGCTTAAATCACACACAACGGATATCCACTCATATCTAGTGGTACCAAGTTCAGATGACACATCTACCAACCACCAACCCTTGTACCATTGCACAGAATAAATAAATTACAAGATGACAAGAACAACTACAACCCATGAGACAACGACCAAAGTCCTTTAATTCTTTTTTACCTTTAATTATCTTTTTAACTGATGCAGAGTAAAGAAATCCTTGCAATATGGCATACCCCAGCAAACCTGATGCTAAACAATACACCCTTGTGAGCTCCAGCGCCATATGGCACACTCCAGTGAGTGTTTTGTCATACAAGTCAATGACTGACATCAACAAGCACTTCATATTTTATGGATGTCATCGTATACTTTAGGCAGTTCAAAGCTTTATGGCATACACCTGGCAAGTGCTTCAAATCATAGTGTACCCCAGTGAGTACCGTGCTACATAGTACACCTCAATGACCGCCATATCATAAGGCACATTCCAACAGGCATCTTGCCATACATAAGTGTCATAAGCCTTTCCCCTGTGAGCAGAAGTAAAGACTAACAATCTGATCTGCCCACTGGGGACAAAACACATTGAATATGTAAACAGTACAAGTGCCTGTCGTTATCTCATTTCTGCTTCAAACAGACGGCACTGAGAAATAACTCTGCCAAGTCGACCTTCATGACCTTCATTTTTGTTTGTTTGGTCCCATGTCCTACTTTTATGGATGTCAGAAGTTAGTTACGTTTACCACTGAAATATGTGTCAAGAATTGTGATGAACATGATGATGACGATATATCTGAGTAGATTAGGCAAGATTATTGAAAATCTATTAAATTGATAATGATGATGTTTGTTAGCCGTTTTCAGGGGTAGGATACACCCCTCATTCCCTCCCCTCGCATAGAGTGATCAAATTCTAAAGCTAAATTGTCATCACTTCCATAACATTTTATAAAGGTTTGCCAAAATATCACATGGGGGCTGCTTCCAGTTGATGACTGTGTTACCGTTATGAACCCTATCCCATGCTATCATTAGTACAACAATTAATACTGAATGTGGCAGCCTAACTATTGTTTATTTTTAAAAAGCTCAGTTAAATTTGAGATAAAACCAAGTCACAGATTTTGAGTCTCTTCCAAGTCGAACTTCCACAAAATACAATAACATCCTTACAGCATTGGAGAGTTTAAAGTAAGTCTACTTGGTATTAGCCAAGCCATAAGCATATATATAATATTGTCCCAAACACCAGTTGTCACAATGTTTAAGTGTCACTTGCTATTCTAAGAATACAGTAGGCAGCCATGTCATAGGATTTGATTGGCAAAATCTGTAGGCCTATTCTTTATTTTGTGTCAACAAGAACACTTGGTCTGCAACAAAAAGAACTATCAATACAAAACTTGTTGTAAACACAATCCTGTGAAAACCTAGGTAAGTCAGTGCCAACAGAAAGTGAAGTAAAATAACATCCCAACTAACCAACACAACAATGGACAAAGCAAAACAGACAAAAAGAAACAAAAATAGAAAAAGAAAAAATTAAGATCTCTAATCACCCACTTGGCTGTCCCTGTGGTTTTATGCACCCCGCATAATTTAGCAAAATTTGATCATTTTTTGCATAATTTCTGATTATTTTCCTTTATCATTCTTTGTTAAAATGAACAGAATCGCATAATTTTACATTTTTGGGCTGTTTGCATAATTTCAAAATTTTTCTTGCTTAAAAACGACGGGGACAGACTTGGTGATACATGCGAGTAGAACTGAGTCACAACCGAGTGATGAGACACACACCATACTGATTTCTGAAACCACTCAATGCTAACCTTGATGGTAGTATCAGGCCCTTGGAATTCTCTCAAGGGATTATGATACAAAGACTCAAAGAGGTTTGAGCCAGCAATCACACATCTCTTCACACATAATATTTCATGTCACCACAGACACTGCTTGGCTCTACGGTACCTCTGAAGTGGAGTCATTCTGTAGACAACACTTACAAAACACAACACGCACATCACTCCTAAAACACCATCCTCAAGTCTAGCACAGCACAACAAGCATTGCGTAAACACCAATATGCAGATCAGGCAACCGGAGAAGAAAAGAAAACATCTTTAAAATATTTAATCTAACTACTTATTTCTATATAAAATGAAGTAAGACTCCTCCTCTCATGAATGTATCCAGGGAAGTGAGCTGGTCAGTACTTCCCTGACCACATGTGGCAGATGACAAGCACAGTTTACAACTCATACACCGGGCCAGACCACCCACCAACAATGAGGCGCTTTGTCCTGGAATTGTTCAATAAGGATTTTGATATCACAAACATCTGGTCCCAGTAAGTTCAGTCTCTACATGTTTCACTCGAACAATTGGCAGAAGAATTCCATTGACCTGTGCAATAATTATGTCACAACTAGAATGGCCAATTACACTGTAGGCCTGTGGTATCACATTTAACTCTTGGGTACCTATCACACACAAAATCTCCACCGACACATCCTCAGCGCTCAGACCCAGAGTTGTCACAATAAATAAGGTCACAGCAAACAGCCCAGAAAACAGGTTGGTCACTGGTCAAAGGTCACAAAATAAGGGGGGGGGGGGTGTATGTGAGCAAAGATCACAGCACATATGTTACAAAGTGCATCATCAAGCTTAGCCAGAAAACAGTTTCCATTCACAAGCTCATATAAACCTCAATGTAAACTGTAACATCTGACCACAGACCACTGATGTGCTTGCCAGCACTTGCCAGTGACCTTTGACTGTTGACCCAACAATATAAACTTTCTTCTGGCTTTCTTTGCAGGACAACAGGAGCTCGCTTAGTTAGGCATGTTCTTTTACACCAACTATGGCCTCGCTGGAAGTAGACTTCCAAAACTAAAGTTTCTGTGTCTGTGATCTGATGTGGCCTGTGAGATCAATGACTGTTGCGAGGTGACGGATGAAGCAAGATGAGACCCCCTGGTCATCATCAGCCTGATGGAAGCTGTTTGTGTGTTCTATGCATCACGGGTGTCAAGTGTTGGTGACATTCTCATTTGGCCAGCAGTGTGTCAATCTGGAAAGGAGGAAGTATTTGTTAGTGAGGAGAGTTTTGAGCCAGTTGACAAGTGAAAAACATAGCAGCTTACATGCCCTGCATGATCTAAAGACAACTAACACCTCCACAACCACCTATACATCACTGGCTCCACCCACAAACCATAAGTTACTTGTCCCATCCCTATATCACTAGCCCCACTCTAACAATAGTGTTGTGCATACCTCAATAACCCTGCCCACACATCACTGTCACTGAGCTGTCCCATGGACCACTGGTGACTGGAAATATTTTACGCTGTCCCCTCTGACATAATTGCAGATCGATAAGAAGACAGGTTGCTTCAGCTCTGCTGGTCAGGGCCAACCAGGGTTGAATGAGAGACAATGTCTCGTTAGAAAAAAAGAGACACTTGATAAAACAGACTTCCCAAAATGGAATAAAACTCACATCTGCAAATAACAGTGAAGGGCCTAATCATTACACCACAGACCCCATCACAGAACCACTGGTTCCACCTAAAGATTACAAATTGCTCGCCCAGCCTGTGCAGCACCAGCAAAACCAACAGACCACAAGCCCATCCCAGATAACCAGATCTACCCATGTATCACTCGTCCTGCCCATACACCACCGGCTCCATTTAGAGATCACCTTCTTCCCCTTCCAGCTGACTAGCCTTGTCACTGCATCAGTAAATCTCACCAATTATCCTGCCACGCATGATCGGACCACTCAAAGACATCTATCCCCATCTACAGACGACTATCCAACTTGCAGAAAACAAGCTCCACCCAAAGACAACTATCCCAGCTCTTAGATTTCAGTCCTCAGACAACTAGCTCCTCCCTCTGATGACTTTCCCATCCATACAAGGTACTTCTCAGACTATTAAACTAACAAGTCCACAAACAAAGAGCTCCCACATGTCCATCTCACCCACAGATGATGTGGCCCTACCCACAAACAACTAGCTCCACCCCCAGAAGATGTGGCCCTACCCACAAACAACTAACTCCACCCCCAGATGATGTGGCCCTACCCACGAACAAATAGCCCCGCCCACAGACAACTAGGCCCTGCCCACCTGTGTTTTGTACATCTCCTTCACGTCCTGTAGATCCAGCCTCAGCTCCTGTACCTGCTCCTCCTTCTCTCCGTACATCTGAAGCAGGGCGCTGTAGCGGCCACTCAGCTCCTGGGGAACACACACACAAACACTTACATGTGACAAAGCCGCAAAAAGAGATACATTCTACAGGAGTACAGTCAAACCAACTCTAATGGCCATCTGTATAAAGCAATCCCCTGTACAAATGGCCACTTTCCATTTCCCCTTTTAATAAAAAAATGATCTCACTTAAGCCTATTCCCGTGTATTTACGGGACGCTCCGCTGGCCTGGTGGTCTAATCCTGTGCATTTACCGTACGCGCTTTATCGATCGATATTTCCAGTGTTTTTCGGTTACAAATCACAGGAAACGGAGAACCAACAGTTGACCCACTTGTTTTGTTTCGTCATAAATTTGGTGAAGTTATAGACGATACGCTCTGACTTGTAATGGACTAAGTCAGTCATCCCTGCATTTCGACAGATGATTTTATTGTAAATTAAGCGCAAAAGAAATTCCGTAATCCCCATTCCAAAATAATGATAAAATAAAAACTGCTTGGACAAATTAGACGCAGTTTTCTTTTTCTTTGAAAGCATTTCTTTCTTTCTCCTGCTGCATTTGTTTTATTATGATAGCTTTCACAGTCTTTTTGAGGTCAACGCTTCAATATACCCCAAAAGTGTGAGGCTGCAATGGTTGTTGGGTGAAAAATAGCTCAGGCTCAAGTCACTAAGACTAAGTGAGTTAAAAATGACACTGTTGAAGATGTCCACCTGTCTTAGACAACCACTTTTCTCCTTGGCCATGGGTGGTCGTCTTACTAAAGTTTGACAGTAGTTAGGTGTTGGATTGGAAAATTAAAAGTTCTGAGTTGAACTCTCTGCTCTGTACAACAGAACTTTGAATCCCTAGGATAGACACTTTCCCTTACTTTTCAAAGAACACCTTATCATACAGAATGTGAATAACAGCAACAATGTGCCCACCTAACAGGCTGTGATACTGTTTGTTTGCAGGGAACACATTCACCACAGCACTGTGATCACAAAGGTCTCCAACCAAAACCTGACAACTGAGAAAAATCTTAAAAGATTTCCCCGATCTGACACCATTAGAAGACCATTTTGTGTAGACAGCACACAAACAGTACTATAGCTTGTTCACTTTTGTCTGTTTGTATTAAAAATAATGTCAGTTTTTTTTTTCTTTGCCTGTAAAAAGTATGTCCCCAGACTTTGATAGCTTGTGCCAGAGGTCATAAATGTCGGCCAATCATTACTGACCTGGAACTCTGTCTGGAGTTTTTCATGCTCTGCTTTTTTCTCCTTCAGCTCCTCATTCTGGTTGCTGAGGTCAACGAGTTCACGAGCCATTGACTCACGGGTACGCTCTAGCTGCTGGATCTCCGACTGAAAGATTCAGAAGCAGAAACAGTGGAAGCATTAGACAGATCTGTGTGCTGTGCGTTAATGGCGGTGATTGTGTAGGGGTGGGGAGAGGAACTGGGGTATTTATCAGTAGATGTGTGAGAGAAATCTGTGAAAACGTAGGGAA